GTCTACCATGTTTCTCAGTTTCATCTTTGCCTCTTCAATTAGGATGCCATGGGAGACAAATCTACTCCATCATAATGTAACAACTTGATGATGCCCAGAGTATCTCCCTCTCACTCAATCCTATTGATTCCTATGTCAATTGCAAAATCAATGGCTTTAACAGCTGCCCCTTCTATGTGCATGGCATTGTCAACGTTCGAGACCGGCATTGACATTGCACCCAGACACCGTCCGTGTTTGCAGTCTTCCACACCTCTACTACTGATGGACATCCTTTATGGCATGCAATACGGATTACTCGCTGTGGTTGCACTTTGGGCAGTTTGCACTATCCACAATTCTCCTTTTCTTCAAGTTTTCATAGACTGGCAGCAATTCACGAACTAACCTCCACCCAAAAATTTTAACTTTATTTGGCGATCGGGCCCTCCATAATTTGTTCCAGACATCATTCGTCCTCCTCCTCTCATCATGCTTTGTCGCCATTGGATCATCTTCATTCGTCTGACCTTTGTTGCGCAGAAGATGATACCTGCTTTTGACGCTGTAATGGCCATCTTTTGTATAGTGCCAGATCAGCACATCTGGGCAGTCGTGTGTGCTAATGGGAATTGCCTTGACTTCCTTTGCTGTTTCACTTGAGAATAGTTCCTCAACTTTCCCTTCATTCCATCGGTGTGCATCCCAGTCGATTAACTTATGGACCATTGTGTTTTCTCCAGCAAGCCTCTCACGTGGTAATGGTTTGAAATTATGAACATTTGGAACTGTCTCTCCATACATTAGTTTGGTGCCCATTTCCAACTCTTCATCTAATTCCACTCTGTAAGACTTCTCTCCTCGTACATATGCTTTGTCATGAGTAGGATGGTAGTCGTCCAATCTCAGCCTCTATGAAAGTCGTTCTTGAGAAATAATTTACCTTCAGGACCTTATAGACTAGAGATGATGTGTTGTCCATGAGTCTCCAGTCTTGTTTTGCAATCAGAGCCTTGTTAAACATTTCGAAATCTCGAAATCCCAGTCCACCCTCCAACTTGCTAGTGCACATTTCCTCCCATCACACCCAATTTATTCCTTTTCTGGCCGTCTTTTGTTTCCACCAATAGTCACAAACAGTCATGTTTAGATCATGGCATAGGTCTTGTGGGAACAAAAAACTAGACATTGCGTAAGCTAGCAATGATTGTAGAATGGACTTTATGAATATTTCTTTACGACACATCCATTGGTTGCTCCAACATCGTATTCTCCTTTTGATCTTGTCCACAATCTCTCAGAGGGCTTTCTTCTTATTTCTCCCTACTATCATCAGTAGCCCTAGGTACTTCTTTGGGTTGCTTGTTACCCTGATCCCAAACATTTGTTTGACCATCTCCACTTTGTCATATCTAGTGCTTTGGCTAAAAAACAAACCTAACTTGTTATAGTTGATTTTCTTCCCCGACAATTCCTCGTAAATCTTTAGTAAGTGTTTCACTCGTTCGCATTCCCTTTGATTTACCCTTATGAATAGCAAACTGTTGTCTACGAAGAATAGATGAGCAATCCTTGGGCTATTCACACTAGCTCTGACACCTTACAACTTGCTTTCCATTTGATCCTCTAGTAGAAGCGCAGATAATCCTTTTGTGCATAGAATGAACAGATAGGGTGAAAGGAAGTTGCCTTGTCTAAGGCCTTGTTTGGAATGATAGGATCAGTAATTGTTTCATTAAGAATCACATTATAGGCTACAGATGATATACAGTGCTTGATGATAGACACCCACCTTTCACTGAACGCTAATCTTTTCATAATGGACTGTTGAAAGCTCCACTCAACCTGATCATACGCCTCACTCATATCTAGTTTTACAGCTCCCCACCCCTCCTTTCCTTTTTTCTTAAGCTTTAAAGTATGCAAGATTTCGTAGGCTATAAGAACATTATTGGTTATCAATCTGCCTCGTATAAAAGCACTTTGGTTTTCACTAATACATGAAGGTAGGACATCTTTTAGCTTATTAGCAAGAACTTTTGCGGTGATCTTATATAGAACATTACAAAGACTAATGAGGTGAAACTAAGTCATCCTTTTGGGATCTTTTATTTTAGGAATGAGCACTATATTGGTGTCATTTATATCATCTAGTTTCCCTTCCCCATTTAGTCTAAACAAGCCAAATTTAGTAACATCTGGACCGTCTTTGTGCCAAAATTTTGGAAAAATAAAGCAGGCATACCGTCAAGTCTTGGTGCTTTAGTGGGGTGGAATTGTTTTACTGCCTCCTAGATTTCCTCGGTTCTGAACTCTGTGGAGAGATATCTGTTCATCTCATTCGTCACTCTAGGTTTAACTGCCCTCAAAATTTCTTCAAAATTAGATGTACCCTGAGATTTGAATAATTCATTAAAGTACTTCACGGCCTGCATGTTCATCTCCACTTCACCCCCAAGCCACAACCCATTCTCGTCCTCCAATCCCCTTATGTTGTTCTTCCTTCTACGGTGAGAGGCCTGTGCATGAAAGAAAGCAGTGTTTTTATCTCTTTCTCGTAGCCAGCTTATTCTTGATCTCCGCAGCCAATACGTTTCTTCCTTCTCCAACAATTCGTTCATTTTATGTTTTATATGTTCCACTCGGCACCAGCTCATGTAATCACCATGATTGGATTTGTTGTGTTGTAATTCCTGGTTTAAAGCCTCAATTCCGCATGTAACCCGTCAAACTTGCTCTTACTCCACCCTACTAGCTTTCTTATCACACTGCCAAGCTTCGTCCGCATGCCACACTCCCTCCCTTCATTCCACGCCTCATCTATAAGTCTGTCACAGTCAGGTTCTTTAGTCCACATTGCTTCAAAAGCCTTTCCGTGCCTTTTCTTTGCACCATCCCTCCTCGCCTTGTTCCTTTCGGTGTCTAACAATATTGGGCAGTGATCTAATACAGGAGATACTAGGTGGTGAACTACATGGTTTGGAAACCAGCTGCACCAACTCGGGTTTGCCACCCCCTGTCTAACCTTTCTCTTATTTTTTGGCCTAGCTTTTTTACCCCTTTCCCAAGTGCATTTCGGTCCCCCAAGTCCATCAAATTTGCATCTTTTAAGGCCTTCCGAAGGTTTGTCATCTACTATTTCGGTCTTAAACTTGCTTTTTACATAGATATGAATAATTAATTAAGAGAAGTGTTTTTTTTTTTAATATTTTGCGGATGACATTAATTTAAATTATAGACTCAACTTTGATTTTTTTTAGACAATATACAGATTTTCTATTATATGATTTAAGCATGTTTCAAAATATTACATATTTAAACATATTTAAACATATTTAAAATTAAATTACCGTTTGAATTGATATATTATTATTTATCCATATTGAAACATATTTAAAATTAAATTAATATTTTAATTGAAATATCACTTTAATGTTTCTTTTCCTAAAATTCTTTCAAAAGATAATAATTGTCCTTATTAATTGTATTTATAGCTATGTCTATTAAACCTATCATAAATACATAGCTCCAGAGTATACCAATTCTTTTGTGCAAGTTTTGCTTCTAGGTTTCTTTTTTATATAGTTTAATCGTATGTCGATACTTTATATATAAATATAAATATAAATATATATTATTTTATTATAAAATAATTGGATTATTAGATAGCTTTTCTCTTTATAAATTAATTATACAACATGTTTTGTTTTTTTTTTTTTTATAGATATAAAATAAATAGGATTAATACTCAAATATATCCTTAAATTTTAGTACAAAGTAGAATTAGGCCATTAACATTTTTATTACGTGTAAATAAAATTATAATATTTGATTTTCTATATTTATTATCATAAACTTTAAAAATCAATTATAAAAGTTCATCTGGAGAAACTTTTAAGTAGTTTCAAAAATTAAGTTATTCTATAAAAATCAACATGGAATAATAAAAACATTGATTATGACTTGTCACGTGTTATTAATATTCATAGGTAACAAATGTTAGTATTTTGTTAATTCAATTGGATTTTTTTAATTGATTTTAAAAATTTATGATTATAATTGAAAATAAAAATGATATGTTCATTTAAATGTAATAAAATATCTATGGCTTAATTACAATTTTTATTAAAATTCAAGGATATTAAGCTAAATAAATATAATATAAAATTATTTTGTGGGTGCAGATCTAGGTTATGATGCCTGATGATTAAAGTGTCAAGTTTCCAAAAAAAAAAAAAAAAGCTGTTACAAGTAATTTTTTGTGTTTAAGATTGATTAATTAACTTTTTTTTTATATTTGTATACTTTATATTTATCTTTTATAATGAAATGATTTATTCTTTGCTTTTTTTTTAATATTTTCTCACTGTATATTATTTCAATATTTGACTTTTTATTTGTTATTTTTTTAAATGAGCATGTGCTTAAAATCAAACGGTGTCATCAATGCTTCAAATTCCTTTGCAACGGGTGAGATTTTGTCCTCCTCCTCCATCACCAACCACTGTGACAATAAAAGATTCACAATCTTCCATTGCAAGAGCTTTTCATCTCAACAATGTATTAAATAATCTCTCATATATGATATTAATTCTAAATGAAGCAAATTTTAACTATATAGAATCACAGACATTGTATATTTTGTTTAAATATCACTATCCAATGAAATATGATATAAAAATATTTTTTTAAACTTTAGAATAAAGGTTACATATTGATATTCAATGTATTTTTTTTTCTTAATTTAAATTTAAATTTTATTCTGATATAAAGTTTTTTAAGCGAAATTCACATATAAAATTTATTAATTATACATAATATTTTATATATTTAATAATAAATTAGTTTATATTAATTACTATGCTACTCTAGTCAATGTAATAATGCTAACATTTAACGTATTTAATATTTAAATTTCAGTAATTATATTTTTTTGATAAAAAACAAAAATATATAATTTGGTGATGAAAAAATTTTAATTTGTTGGGTTCTCTTTTTTCAATTCCAAGGAGAGAATTTCCTTATAAATTTATTTTGGCCAAAGAGCTGATGTTTCATAATCCTATCTTTCAGCTGCGTAAAAGACAAAGATCCGCTCTTTCCTCTCCTTTCATTTGTGGCTGTTGAAAAAGAACCATCCCCTCTTCGCCTAAATAGGAAAAAATCGGGGCCGTTTATTTGGGTTATAAAAGCAAATCCAAAGCCTAGGGTTAGAATTTAAGCTTAACCTTACGCCGTTCATCCAGATGACCAAAAAACAAAAATAGTTACGTAGTTAATAGATACTAGTATAACAGGAACGGAACGTGTTTGTCTTTAATTCCGTTTTTCTACTTTTTTTTTTTTATTTGTTGAAGCCGCCTTTCTCCTCTTACATAAACCAAGTTCCTTGCTTGCTAATTGCTATAATCTGGCTGTTGAGAGGTAAGATTTTTCTTCCTCTTTTTTTTTTTTTTTTGGGGGGGGGGGGGGGGGTAGGGGCCATCCCCCTTCTTTGTTGGCAATCTTTGTTTTCTTTCAAGATGAATGAATGAATGAATAAATAAAAACTGGGTCTTTCTTTTTTTTTTCTTGCGTTTTGAGTGGTTTTGTCTCTTGGGTGTTTCATGAATGGTTTGTTTTGTCTGTTCTTTGTGTCCTGAGATACTGCTGTCTTTTTGGTGCTCTATATGGTTATTTGTCGTTCTCAATCTCCTGCCTTTTTTTAGTAGTCATGTTTCCTTAAGATGATGGGATTAAATTATTCCGAATTTCTTTGGACTCGTTTTCATTGGCATTTCCTTTTAAAACTAAAGGTAATTGGTCAGGCTTGCATTATTCTTCCATATGAAATCTAAGTTTTTTTTTGTTGTTGACCATTGGTTGTATATGATGTACAATCTGGATGGTTGGTTGTCTCATTCATACAGGTTGATTCATATCTGTTCTCTTTTTATCATAGATTTTGTTCTTGATCAATAATCAATATTGTGTCTGTATGAGCAATTACCTTGGATGAATATATCGAATGAAAGAGTGGGAAGAACACAATTTTGAGTCTCATTAGATATTTACAACTTGCCTTTGTAATGAGAATTGAAAGATTTCTTTTTTTTTTTTCCCTCTTCTAGTCCCTTTTGACAAAGAAGTCCGGTAATGCTCAATTGGTTGGTTTTTCTTATCCAGAAGATATTGAAATAAGAGACATTAGGCAATGCAATCTGATTGTATATTCTGTTTTTGATTGTTAAATTTTCTGTTGCATTCTTTTGACGTAGAGATTAACAACCAGAGTTTTTTGCATTTTCTTTATTACTCGGCCTATATTCTGCTTATAGGTGATGCGGTTCTTTTATTTTTCTCTTTCATTATTGTCAGGCAGGTGTCTCTTATGCTTGTTAGGGATTTGGTTTTCCTAGTTGGAAAAGATTCTTTTTCACTCTGGCCGCTGCAACGAAAGTAAACTTTTCTCGCACCTCAAAGTGGGTGTGGGGGGACAACGAAGGGGTGATTCTGCTTGGTGTTTTAAGGAGATCGAGATCATCACATATCTGGAGGCTGCGGCGTGTTTCGGAGGGTCTTTCGCTTGATTATGGCTAATGTCAGTGTTTGCTAAGTTCCCAGAAGTTAGATTGTAGTTTGTCATTTTCTTATGGTTGAAGAATTAGGTGTTTTTCTCAGGATTTTGATCCTAAATGATTAGAGTAGTTTGGTGCTCATAGCTTTTTATGTAGCACGATAGTGTGTCTTGTGTGGATCTAACACTAGTCTGTATCACAACAATGGTTAGATTTTCATGCTTCCATGCTCACACTGGAGGCCAGAAACCAAAGGTAAGTCTAAGATTTGCGTCAGGTATTTTGACTACTTTAGTAAATTTTGGGTTATGTAATGTAGTGTTTGCTGACTCAAGTATTCATTTGGACATCAGAAAACTGTTCAGCCATCTGTTGAGGCAATACATAAGACTTTAGAAGATTTTTCTCAAGTTCAAGCCCATAAGGATTCGAATAAAGATACAGGCATGGACTCATTCTTGCGGGGGGCAAAAACAATTGCTGAGATTCACGACAGTGTCAAACCTGTTACGGGTTCTCCTTCTGTTTACCATAGCTGGAAATCGGAAGAAATAAAAGACCAAATTGATCTTCATACCAATTCCAGGGTTCTTCAGAATCAGCACTATCTTAAGAAGAGTCTGTCCCTTGGAAGCAAACTGTACCTGGAAGGAAGGGTTCCTGGACAATGTGATATGGATGATGAGACTGATCAAGGATTTTCTTCTGATTCCATTGACCATGGGTTGGTTGAAGCAGATGGCAGCCAAAATACAGTAGTGAGCCAAAATGCTGCACGCTCAGAATCTGTTCTTGTTAGCTCTAACCATGTCAATGATGAACTGACTTTCTCTATAGGAGATCCTCAGCATTCAGAAAAGGACGGCCATGATAATTCTGATATACCTTTGTCCGGTGAGGGTGCCAATGGCTCTGGTGACTTTACGCCTAATAATGCGCCTGTGATTGTGAAATCATGTTCTATGCCAAACATTGTTGCATCCATAATCAATTCTGGAGGACATTCTCCTTTTAGATATTTGACACGGCATTCAAGATCTTCTGAGGATATACTTGTTCTCGATATGAGACAAAACAGTTTTTCAATTCATGAGGTTGATACAGAGGTGATGCGAGAACAAGAAAGAGACGAAGGCATACATAAAAATCAGAAAACTAACTTTGAAAGTTCTTACACTGAGGGATTTGATTCTTATAGTTATTCTGGATCAGCGAAAGACTGGATAATGCCAGTTTCAGATAAGGTAAACTCAGTGAAAATCCTACAAGAAAAATTGCCAGTTCTGAATTGGAATGAAATGACTGGCAAGCATTTTAAGATTAAGCGAATTGAGGAATGGGTTAATGATCTTCAACACTGTAGCCCATTGGAAGAAACATTTGAATTATCCCATCCCAGTGATCATGTGAAGGCTGAACCTGCTGTCTCAAATGGTTTGACTGCTGCAAAGGTGGATGTTAAGGTAACTCCTGGCATGGAAGCTGCAAAAAGATATATATCTTCTTTGAGTGCCTCAGCAACCACAGCTCAGCTGGCAAATCATGGTTTGGTTGTTATACCAACACTCAGTGCATTTGTTAGCTTGAAGATGCTTAATCTATCAGGAAATGCAATAGGTGGGTATCTTCAACAGCAATAGTATTAGGTCTTCTGTATTTATCTTCTAGTTTGACATGCTTTAGTCATGATTTGGAGTTTATGGAACTGTTTTTTTGTATGAATCTGCTTTCTCATTTTTTCTATGTATGCTTCAGCAAGGATTACTTCTGGTGCTCTTCCTCGAGGACTTCACATGTTGAATCTGTCAAAAAATAATATATCCACTATTGAGGGTTTACGTGAACTTACTCGACTTCGTGTGCTGGACCTGAGCTACAACCGGATATTTAGAATTGGTCATGGTATGTGACGCAAACTGCAAGTGATTAGCTGTCCTATTTTCCTTGCTATACTCCTTTCCTGCCAATTTTTTAATCCTCTAAACTACTTTCTCTCACATAATCCATTGTAGGTTTGGCTTCTTGTTCCTCTCTTAAAGAGTTGTATTTGGCTGGAAACAAGATTAGTGAGGTGGAGGGTCTTCATCGCCTTTTAAAATTGACCGTGTTGGATCTGCGTTTCAACAAAATCTCCACTGCCAAATGTCTCGGCCAACTTGCAGCAAACTATAATTCCTTGCAAGCCATCAGCTTGGAAGGTAACCCTGCACAGAAGAATGTTGGAGATGAACATCTGAAGAAACATTTGCTAGGCCTTCTTCCACATTTGGCTTACTTTAATCGGCAGGCTATCAAAGTCAGCACATTGAAGGACGCTGCAGAACGTTCAGTTCGGCTTGGCATCAGTGCACATCAATTTGACCGTGGCCTAAGATCAGAACACAAAGCTACAAGGAAGATTAACCATGGTGCTGCTACTCAATGGCCATCCTCTTCATCAACTCACGGTCATAAAAGTCAAGCCGCGGTGTCCTCAAAACTGTCCAAAGGCAGGCATGGGCCCCTGCCTCCTAGTGGGATCAAAGCAACAACCAATCATCGAAATCATTATTTTGATCTTGGTAGCAAACTTCTGAACTTCAAATCGGAGCTTTCCATGCGGAGGAGCCGAAGTGAGGGAACTATGGGACCCGTTTGAAATCAGTGCCTTGATTAATGCAGTCTGGTTGTTATACTACTGAGTTTCAGGTTATGTTGCTTGTCATTACTTCAATAAATTGTCAGTCGAGATATTCGGTGTGACCAGTCATTTTCACAGTTGATTTGCAAAAATGGGACTTCTCATGATTCTGCCGTTTCTAAGTTTCTTGTTTTCGTGTAATAAAATGTGAGCGAAAGACAGGGTTATGTTGCATCCTTGATTATATCGTTGTGAATGCCATTGGTGATGACTCATTTCGAGTTCCATCTGTTATCAATGTCATACCCTGAATCTGTTTCCAGCCAGTTTTGGTACTGTGAGTTGGCTGCAACAGTGCAACTATCAAGGCAAATCAAGCATCAACAAGGTAAGGTTAGCCTAAGCCATGGTCTTAGAACCAGATGGCCAGAGGCTGCAAGCCCCGTCCAAAAATGATCACTCACTCAATCCATAATTATGCTAAACGACTAATATTGCCAAAACCATGTTGGTTAGGAAACAAATCCAATAATAAAAAACTGCAGTTTTACACCACGAAAAAGCTGGTATTCCTACTATATGAGAAACATGCTGTGAAAAGGCTTATATTAACACACCATGCACACGGGCATTGAACAGTTAATTTTCAAAACAGGCAATTAACAGGAAAGTACACAGAAAATAGAAAAACAAAGAGCCCTATTACTATCCATCTATACAAAGTATGAGATCCATCACCACACAAGATTCTCAAGCTTCTTTGCCACCACAAAGTCTTCACATTTTGGATTGCCTTTCATCCTTTGCTGCAATATTAGTGCATGGGCACATCAGTAATCAATCATCCCTATCCAGTAAATCAAAATAACAGTTGAAACTTAATTTGCAAAGGAGTTCACTACAGAACATCATATAGAGGGCTAAAGTCAAGCTATAGATTTGAAAACTACAAACAGTGCGTTAAAGAAAAAAAAAAACATGATTGACACAGGCTTTACAATCAAAGCAATGAGTGAATTCCCTGATCCCATGAAAAAGTAAGAGAAGGGGGTGAAGGGAAAGAAATAGGGAATGGGTCTCAAACAGATAAAAGCTCCCAGTCATATTAAATTACCTGAATCAGTAGGCACTTTTCGTTGCTCTCAGTCATATTAAGCATCTGCTAACAAGAAATATGAATCAATGAGAGAGATAATTTTAACACTAATATTTAATTTGTAACTTTTAACTTTAAGATTAAAGCTCTTACAGATTAGAAAACACTTCATAATATAGGCATTACATATTTCCATAGCTGTACAAACAAATGTGACACCAAACACATCATGTACATTCACCACATCACAAAACAATAGCAGCCGCTATTATGAGATGAAATACAACATGATTCTGAATTCTATCCACATAGGTCAAATGCATATAATTTGGCTTAGACCAGAAGCAAGAAGAGAGCACAAATTCAACCTTAGAATCACTTCAAGCAATGTAATTAGCACAAAAATCAGCTCCAAGTTGCAAGGTCGACAAACATTTCACATCTCAAGTCCGTAGGTGATTTCATCATGCCACAAGCTATCAGGTTTATTCTCATGGTCTATATTTATGCTTTCTTGACTGCTACCATCACCATGCACAAGGCTCATCCCTTCAATGGTTTAATAACCTTTACTATTTCCATCCTATTTTCCCAGAATTGCCAGGCAACTAAGCAATTTATGCTGCTACTTCTTACTTCTCACAACGACATTCCGTCCTCATTCTAGCTATGGTGTTTTAACGAGCACTTCATCAATGTGCATAAAGCCAAAAACTCCACAAATTACCGGACAAAGTTATATAAAACCCACTTAAACCAGTTAATTACCATCAAACAAAAAGAAAATCAATTACAAATTCGAAAACCCAAACCTCTGTACTCCTCTGCCGCATCATGATACTCAAGCTCCTCTTCTGGTACCGGCTGCAGCTCCGCGTCTTCTCCAACAATCTTCTTTTTCGTCACCTTCTCGGATCCACCTATTCCGCTCTCCTCCTCATCCGGGTACCGGACCACCACCACGGGACAAATGCAGTGGTGGACACAATAATCACTGAAACTTCCAAGCCTTCCTTTGCTGGTCCTCCCAGCAGCGCCAAATCCTCTGCTCCTCATGATCACCGCACTCAGCCCTAACCTCTCCGCTTCCAAACACAATCTCTCTTGCATGTCATGGTCTTTCACAATGTGGATTTTAAAAGGAATCTGAGCATCCACTAACAGCTGTGCCAACGTGGTCGCTTTCGTTGTGGTGAAAATGTAGAACTCGTTCTCGAGTTTCTGCTACTACTCTTAGTCGGAGTGGTCAGTGGGGATGGCGGTGGCATTTTCGTGACTAGTTGTGGTGATATGGAGATGGATAGAGACCCAGTCGGCTCCGTAGAGGACGGGAGTTGGACGGACGTGGAGGAGGATGACGGCGTCTCCGGGACGAAGGTAGTTCTGAATGGCCCATCGACGGCGTAACGCACTCTTCCCTTAAGTCGATGGCGATGGCAATGCGACGCTGGGCAGCAGCAGTAGCGGTGGCGGGGGCAGTCAATGGTACACTTGGCGATGTCGGTTTGATTCGGAGAGAAGCCAGGGATGGAAGAGGAAGGTCCGGTTCCGTTTGGTGGTGTTGTTGTGGATTCATGAGAAGATAGGATTTTGGGAAACTGAAAAATTGGTTGGACTTTGGCAAGGGAAAGTCACAGAAATGGAATGAGCTGTTAAAAGACAGCAGGCACAGGTGCTCAGTGCTCACTAATGAACAAGATATTGACAGGCCAACCTTCTTTCTTCACTAAATGTTTGTTTCTTTTTTTCTCTGTATGTTTCACTTTTGACCGAGCTAGCACTGGACCCATTTTAGCTCGAGATTAGAAGCGAGCTTAATTATCTTTACGTGAAATTAATTATTATAAAACTGTAATTAAAATTAATAATAAAAAAATATATTTAAATATAAAAATAATAGTGATTATCCGATAAAATATAATAAAATAAAAATTGATTATTAAAAATATTAAATTAATATTGATATATAATAAATTTTATATTTATAAATTTATCATACAATTAAAAAATTAATAAAATTATCTTTATATCAAATCATAATTTTATTAAAAAAATATATTTATACATTTTAAATTTAAAAAATAATATTTTTTAAAAATAAAAATATATTTATATTTCTTAAAATAAAAACAACCAATATTTATTTGCATTATTATTTATATAGTTATTTTTTTTTCATTCACTAATAATTTATTTAATTATGAAATTAATTTTTTTATGCATTTAAACTTTATCTATTTATTTATTAAAGAATTATATAAATGATATATTAAATAATTATAATAAATTAATTTGAAAATTTTTAATTTAAAAATAAAATAAATAACTACATAACTAAAAAAATGTCAATCAATTTATAAGTATAGGGACATATTTATCCATACATTGTAATTTCAAGAGTAAAAGAAAATAAAAAAGAAAACATTAAGGTAATATAGAAAAAAAAGGGGCCAATAACTAATGGGAAAAAGGAGTCTGGTACAATTAAAAAATACACAATCTCAGTTCCCTGGTGTGCCATCCTTTTATCTAATTCAATTAAGATGTTCGTTAAGTTGATTTGATTAATTTTAAATTAAATTAATTTTATTTTTGTTAATTAAAATAAATATTTTAATTTTAAAAAATTAATCGATTAAATTTAATTAATTTTTTTAATTAATCGAATAATAAATATATTTAAGTTAAATTATATTTTAAATTCTTAATTTATCATATTTTAAATAAATTAAATAAAATTATTCAACAAAATATCTAAATACCAAAGTATTTTATTAAAAACTTTAATAACTTATAAAGTAAAATGATCTATATCATGTATTTTTGTTTTCTGTTTAGATTTTGTTATATTCCAATTAAAATTTTGATTAATTTGACTTTTGAATCAAATTAACCAAAAACAAAAATCCTTTTGAAATCATTTTAGTAATTGATTAAAATTAATTCGATAATCAACCTATTAATTGAATTAAGGCTCCATTTGTTTCGTAAAAAATAATTTTTAAAAAATAATTTTTATATTTTTTAAGTGTTTGTTTGATAGAATATTAACTGATAAATAAAAAATAATTTATTGGTTAATAGAAAATAAAACAATTTTTTTTTTAAAATTATCTTTCCATTTTTAAAAGGGTAAGACAATTTCTAAAAAAAAATTATTTATGAGTAGAATTATTTATCAATGTGTTTGAGCATAATTTTATTCAAGTTAAATTTTGTACATGATTTTTAAACTCAAACTTAATTTGACTTGACCCAAAGTATTATTATATTAGTAAATAATATTTTTATTTAATTTTACTTAAAAATTAAAATATTAATATTAAAAATATTTTAATATTTTATTTTAAATATTTTTATAGTTCTACTCAAGACTTTGAATATAATATTTTAAGTTAAAACTTGATTTGATTTGACTTGAAATATTATTATATTAATAAAAATATTTTATTTAATTTTAATTAAAAAATTAAAATATTAGCATTAAAAATATTTTGATATTTCAATTTTAAATATTTTTATTTTGTATATTATTAAACATAAATATTTTTAATATTTCAATAATAAAAGTATTATATTATTATTTTAATAATAAATAATAACATATATAATATTTTTATTGTTTTAGTAATTAATGTTAAATAATATAATAATATTATTTTCTTAATATGAATATTTTTAATAATTTCTTATTATTTTTAATTTAAAATATATAATTTTATATTTTATTATTATGGTGTTTATATTACTATTTTAATAATAAATATAAATAAAAAAGATTTTTGTTATGAGTTAATAATTTATACTTTCAATATAAAATATAAATATTTTAATAATAAATATTACTATTTTAATATTAATAAAAATAATATTATTTTAAATATTTTAAAATATTAATATAAAGAATAATAAATAGTTTTATTTTAAATATTTTTATATTAATATAATATTTTAATATTCAATCTTATTATTAAAATATAATTTTTTTGAATATTAATAATTTTAATAATAAATAATTTTTAATATTTTAATTATTATATTAATATTACTTGAAAAAAAATAAAATTTTCAAAAACAATAAAAAAATATTTTTCATTAATTTATACAAACAACAAAAAATTTATACCCTTTTAAAAAATAAAACAATTTTTTAAAAATCAAAATTT